GCCTGTTTGCCTCTTGTCTTGTTTTTCTTCTCCATGTGGCTTATTCAGGTGTGGGTGAAGGGTGAATACAGTCATCTCTAGTTACCATACATTAGAGTGCAATGGTTTGCATTGCCCGTTGAAGATCATCCTCTCTAAAATGCCATAATTATAGTAACGTTATTATGCGTCCATCCTTCCTTCTATCTGTCCGCCCGTCCTCCCTAGCCTGTCTTGAGTTTGCCGCTTGTGTTCACTGATATACTTGTGACATTGGTTTCAGCAACCACCCTGCTGCTGCACTGAGTACAAGTGGGTATTTCTGTCATGTGATCAGCACTGGCCAAAGACAAAAAGGCGGTTCCAAAGGAATTGTGCTGTATTGGTATCAACATTAATCTTGACCGGGTTATGGTCTCTAAAGCATTCGAATACCGGGCTGCACGCACAATGATGCAATGTGTGCAAACCTGTACTGTAGGATGGAATAGGTGCTTGCATTATCCTTACACCTGTACAGCACCCCTTTTTGGCCAGCAGTGTGTGACGGTGTACGGATGGCAGGGACGTAGCTGGCACCCCTTTCAGGGGGGGGGGGGGGGGGGGTGCACGGCCGCATGCCTGTATGACTGTGTAGGATGGCTGGTGCTTGTCATTCATGGTCATTATGCGCATGCTGAACCTAGGTCGAAATTATTTTTTGGGGGGGGAGGGTACACGTGACCCTGTGCCCCATGCAGACTACGTGTGCCTGGGTGATGATATTGTGCATGTGGCTGCCTATTTGTTGGACATCTCTTGCAGAGGGATGCAGACGACCACCTACAGCCCCGCCTGGCGCTCGCAAATCTCAGTGCTCCGCCGCTGGACAGCGGCAGTGTTCAACGGAGGGGGACTTCTTTCAGGCCGGCACAACTCTTACATACAATTGTCCGGGTGGCTGGATCGATCGGGCCTCGCCAGACTTCTCCACCATGTGCATTGGTGGCGACTGGACGGAAACTCTGCCACGTATGCCCAGTTGCCGTGAGTCAGTCTATGTCTGGTTGTGCACTGTATCATCATTATGGAGACCTACCTCATCCGTTTTCAATCTCAAGGGCATTCTTGCCGATGCCTATATGGGCCAGAGCGGTTTCAGTTACAGTGAAACCTGTCTAAGACGACTGCTCAAGGGACTTTCAAAATGTGGTCTCTGTTACCAGGTGGTCTCCTTATGCAGGGTCATTTGACTGGAAATAGCATTCCTTGGTTCTGGTTGCAGTGGTCTTTTAGGACAGGTGGTTGCCTTGACAGGTTTTACTGTACTTAGTGTGCATTTTGCCACCATCAAGCTCCTTGAAGAATGGAAACAGCTCATTTTTTTCTCAACCCCTTCAAATCCTTGAAGCAGAATACTAGTGGTATTTTGTGTTTGTGCCTGCACCGTACAACAGAGGAACAAGGCTAGTTAGTTGTGGCTCTAAGTTCACGTTCGGTGCACTGATCATGCTGGGCGTACTGTAAGTGGCAGGCGTTCTGTACCTTGTTTTATCATTGATTTTTGACCGCCGTTCACTGTGCTCCATGATGTCTCCTGCTCAGGTCGATGCAAGGCGTGCAAGGTCAAGAACCAGTGGCTGAGCGAGCACTATAACATCTCCACCGACGCAGCACACCTGGTCAGGTTCAATGCCGAGCAGCGCATCAAAAGAGTGAAGCATGGCGGTGAGATCACGGTGACATGTGCCAGTGGCAGTGGTGACGTCACGCGCCGTCACCAATGCTATGATGGACTGTGCAGACAGGACGCACGGACCGGCCGGGTCACCGGGCAAGCAACGCGGCGGTGGAGAGAATCCCCGGTGACGTTTGAGTGCCAGTGTGAGCCATCGTCTGGCCTGGCCATTGTCTCAGCAGTGCGTGGACTGAAGTGTGAAGGTATGTTCCATGGAGGCTGTGTATGGACTTTGCATGGAGGCTGTGCATGGACTTGCTGTTTCAAGGTGACAAAACAGTATTGATTCGCATATGGGTGCTGATTGGGTGCTGATTGGGTGCTGATTGGGTGCTGATTGGGTGCTGATTGGGTGCTGATTGGGTGCTGATTGGGTGCTGATTGGGTGCTGATTGGGTGCTGATTGGGTGCTGATTGGGTGCTGATTGGGTGCTGATTGGGTGCTGATTGGGTGCTGATTGGGTGCTGATTGGGTGCTGATTGGGTGCTGATTGGGTGCTGATTGGGTGCTGATTGGGTGCTGATTGGGTGCTGATTGGGTGCTGATTGGGTGCTGATTGGGTGCTGATTGGGTGCTGATTGGGTGCTGATTGGGTGCTGATTGGGTGCTGATTGGGTGCTGATTGGGTGCTGATTGGGTGCTGATTGGGTGCTGATTGGGTGCTGATTGGGTGCTGATTGGGTGCTGATTGGGTGCTGATTGGGTGCTGATTGGGTGCTGATTGGGTGCTGATTGGGTGCTGATTGGGTGCTGATTGGGTGCTGATTGGGTGCTGATTGGGTGCTGATTGGGTGCTGATTGGGTGCTGATTGGGTGCTGATTGGGTGCTGATTGGGTGCTGATTGGGTGCTGATTGGGTGCTGATTGGGTGCTGATTGGGTGCTGATTGGGTGCTGATTGGGTGCTGATTGGGTGCTGATTGGGTGCTGATTGGGTGCTGATTGGGTGCTGATTGGGTGCTGATTGGGTGCTGATTGGGTGCTGATTGGGTGCTGATTGGGTGCTGATTGGGTGCTGATTGGGTGCTGATTGGGTGCTGATTGGGTGCTGATTGGGTGCTGATTGGGTGCTGATTGGGTGCTGATTGGGTGCTGATTGGGTGCTGATTGGGTGCTGATTGGGTGCTGATTGGGTGCTGATTGGGTGCTGATTGGGTGCTGATTGGGTGCTGATTGGGTGCTGATTGGGTGCTGATTGGGTGCTGATTGGGTGCTGATTGGGTGCTGATTGGGTGCTGATTGGGTGCTGATTGGGTGCTGATTGGGTGCTGATTGGGTGCTGATTGGGTGCTGATTGGGTGCTGATTGGGTGCTGATTGGGTGCTGATTGGGTGCTGATTGGGTGCTGATTGGGTGCTGATTGGGTGCTGATTGGGTGCTGATTGGGTGCTGATTGGGTGCTGATTGGGTGCTGATTGGGTGCTGATTGGGTGCTGATTGGGTGCTGATTGGGTGCTGATTGGGTGCTGATTGGGTGCTGATTGGGTGCTGATTGGGTGCTGATTGGGTGCTGATTGGGTGCTGATTGGGTGCTGATTGGGTGCTGATTGGGTGCTGATTGGGTGCTGATTGGGTGCTGATTGGGTGCTGATTGGGTGCTGATTGGGTGCTGATTGGGTGCTGATTGGGTGCTGATTGGGTGCTGATTGGGTGCTGATTGGGTGCTGATTGGGTGCTGATTGGGTGCTGATTGGGTGCTGATTGGGTGCTGATTGGGTGCTGATTGGGTGCTGATTGGGTGCTGATTGGGTGCTGATTGGGTGCTGATTGGGTGCTGATTGGGTGCTGATTGGGTGCTGATTGGGTGCTGATTGGGTGCTGATTGGGTGCTGATTGGGTGCTGATTGGGTGCTGATTGGGTGCTGATTGGGTGCTGATTGGGTGCTGATTGGGTGCTGATTGGGTGCTGATTGGGTGCTGATTGGGTGCTGATTGGGTGCTGATTGGGTGCTGATTGGGTGCTGATTGGGTGCTGATTGGGTGCTGATTGGGTGCTGATTGGGTGCTGATTGGGTGCTGATTGGGTGCTGATTGGGTGCTGATTGGGTGCTGATTGGGTGCTGATTGGGTGCTGATTGGGTGCTGATTGGGTGCTGATTGGGTGCTGATTGGGTGCTGATTGGGTGCTGATTGGGTGCTGATTGGGTGCTGATTGGGTGCTGATTGGGTGCTGATTGGGTGCTGATTGGGTGCTGATTGGGTGCTGATTGGGTGCTGATTGGGTGCTGATTGGGTGCTGATTGGGTGCTGATTGGGTGCTGATTGGGTGCTGATTGGGTGCTGATTGGGTGCTGATTGGGTGCTGATTGGGTGCTGATTGGGTGCTGATTGGGTGCTGATTGGGTGCTGATTGGGTGCTGATTGGGTGCTGATTGGGTGCTGATTGGGTGCTGATTGGGTGCTGATTGGGTGCTGATTGGGTGCTGATTGGGTGCTGATTGGGTGCTGATTGGGTGCTGATTGGGTGCTGATTGGGTGCTGATTGGGTGCTGATTGGGTGCTGATTGGGTGCTGATTGGGTGCTGATTGGGTGCTGATTGGGTGCTGATTGGGTGCTGATTGGGTGCTGATTGGGTGCTGATTGGGTGCTGATTGGGTGCTGATTGGGTGCTGATTGGGTGCTGATTGGGTGCTGATTGGGTGCTGATTGGGTGCTGATTGGGTGCTGATTGGGTGCTGATTGGGTGCTGATTGGGTGCTGATTGGGTGCTGATTGGGTGCTGATTGGGTGCTGATTGGGTGCTGATTGGGTGCTGATTGGGTGCTGATTGGGTGCTGATTGGGTGCTGATTGGGTGCTGATTGGGTGCTGATTGGGTGCTGATTGGGTGCTGATTGGGTGCTGATTGGGTGCTGATTGGGTGCTGATTGGGTGCTGATTGGGTGCTGATTGGGTGCTGATTGGGTGCTGATTGGGTGCTGATTGGGTGCTGATTGGGTGCTGATTGGGTGCTGATTGGGTGCTGATTGGGTGCTGATTGGGTGCTGATTGGGTGCTGATTGGGTGCTGATTGGGTGCTGATTGGGTGCTGATTGGGTGCTGATTGGGTGCTGATTGGGTGCTGATTGGGTGCTGATTGGGTGCTGATTGGGTGCTGATTGGGTGCTGATTGGGTGCTGATTGGGTGCTGATTGGGTGCTGATTGGGTGCTGATTGGGTGCTGATTGGGTGCTGATTGGGTGCTGATTGGGTGCTGATTGGGTGCTGATTGGGTGCTGATTGGGTGCTGATTGGGTGCTGATTGGGTGCTGATTGGGTGCTGATTGGGTGCTGATTGGGTGCTGATTGGGTGCTGATTGGGTGCTGATTGGGTGCTGATTGGGTGCTGATTGGGTGCTGATTGGGTGCTGATTGGGTGCTGATTGGGTGCTGATTGGGTGCTGATTGGGTGCTGATTGGGTGCTGATTGGGTGCTGATTGGGTGCTGATTGGGTGCTGATTGGGTGCTGATTGGGTGCTGATTGGGTGCTGATTGGGTGCTGATTGGGTGCTGATTGGGTGCTGATTGGGTGCTGATTGGGTGCTGATTGGGTGCTGATTGGGTGCTGATTGGGTGCTGATTGGGTGCTGATTGGGTGCTGATTGGGTGCTGATTGGGTGCTGATTGGGTGCTGATTGGGTGCTGATTGGGTGCTGATTCTCCCTCTCCTAAACAATCTCTCTACTGTGAACAACCGTTAACTAATTTTGCATCATCACCGAAGCTTTAACCCCCCCCCCTCCCCACCCCGCCTTCTTTAGCTTTCAACCTGGTGGTGAGCCATACCCAGAAATCAGGTGATATGTCAAGTTAGTTGTTCAAAGATACTGTTTTTTTTTTGGAGAGGGAGAGAGAGAGAGACAGAGAGAGAGAGAGAGAGAGAGAGAGAGAGAGAGAGAGAGAGAGAGAGAGAGAGAGAGAGAGAGAGAGAGAGAGAGAGAGAGAGAGAGAGAGAGAGAGAGAGAGAGAGAGAGAGAGAGAGAGAGAGAGAGAGAGAGAGAGAGAGAGAGAGAGAGAGAGAGAGAGAGAGAGAGAGAGAGAGGAGTAATGTGGAAATAGCATTGGTGGAGTTTAACAGGCAAACCAAAAAGTTTTAAAGGAAAGACAATGGACCAAGGAACTATAAGTTACGCTATACTGTCCACTAACACCACCAGTTACTGTACAATTAGCCCATGCGGTATCATTGAACGACACTGACCAACGGTACCGACGTTCTACAACTCTCTGCCAATCAGCTCTAGTACGTCTTGGATGCGCACTCCAACTGCCTTCCAACTTGGAAGGTTCTAAGTTATAACGTTAGTACTAACGTTAACATAGGAGGGGAAGGTGCGCGCAACCAAGACAAGCACAAGCTGAAAGTCTCAGTCTTAAAGGGGAAGTTAAGGCAAAAATTAAATTTTCACCAGTTGTAGTCTTCGGGGTGCTGAGTCGAATGGTCTTGGTCCGAGAAAGCTGAGACGCTCCCTTCCTACTTGAATCCCAATCGAACTCGCGCACTTCCACCGAAACTGGGTGACTGCGCCCTACTAGATGGGGATTTGTATGCAAAATGTCACTAAAAGCACCATTTTGTTCTTATAAAAGCACGGATGACCGCGATTGGCCCATATGTTGTAGTCTTTTGGACGCTGAGTCGACTGGTTTTGGTCCGAAAAGGCTGCGATGCAGCGTTCCTCCTTTATTCCCAATCGAACATGGTTGAACAAGCGGTCACGTGCTCCTGGGTGCCCAAATCACCTGGTCACCACGCCAGCAGGCGACAACTTTCACACCAAGGTTCAACTCGAGTTCAACTCGAGTGACAGGACTGCACCCAAAAAAGGTCAAACAGGCTAGTAAGTTGTACCCTGCAGGCACGGTGACCAGGTGACTGGTGTACGCAGCAGCACGTGACCACTTGTTCGACCATGTTCGATTGGGAATAAAGGAGGAACGCTGCTTCGCAGCCTTTTCGGACCAAAACCAGTCGACTCAGCGTCCAAAAGACTACAACATATGGGCCAATCGCGGTCATCCGTGCTTTTATAAGAACGAAATGGCGCTTTTAGTGACATTTTGCATACAAATCCCCATCTAGTAGGGCGCAGTCACCCAGTTTCGGTGGAAGTGCGCGAGTTCGATTGGGATTCAAGTAGGAAGGAAGCGTCTCAGCTTCCTCGGACCAAGACCATTCGACTCAGCACCCCGAAGACTACAACTGGTGAAATTTTAATTTTTGCCTTAGGCCAAGTAAAAAAAATCCTAGTTTATCGTCCCCGCCCGCCCCATTTTTCGAGGCCGCCCGGAATTTATTTTTATTTTTTAAATCTAGAATTTTGCCAAAAAGCTTGATTTTTTACGTCGGCTAAGGCTTGTGTGAACCAAACAGTATTGGGGTTTGTGTCTTATGAGTGGAGTGACAATCTGTCGATCCAAAGATTTTGCATGTACATGTAATTGTTTATGTACATATAACTGTTATAGCATTGTGTATTCCATACACTACCACTATTCTGTTGCAGATTGTTGCACATGATGTGTCATTGTTTACCAAGAACTATACTAGTCTGTAGCACATCAAAAAATAAAAAATAAAAATAAAATCCGCCCTCCCTCCCCGATTTTTGTGAAAAAAAAGGACGATAAACTGGGATTTTATTTTACTTGGCCTTAACTTCCCCTTTAAGATACGAAGATCAATTGGAAGGGAAGCTAAGTGAACAGTAACTGGCGGTGTTAGTGGGCAGTATAGTATAACTTGTAGTTCCTTGGTCCTTTTTTCTTCCCCTTAAATTCTTCCTTGGCTCTCTATCTGAGTTATCTGGATTATACCTTTTTTTTCAAAGATTTGCAAACTCCAATGTAGCCACCAACACATTGCCTAGTCTGAACCTTCACTTACATGTGGTCTCTTCACTGCCAAAAACTCTCAGAAGTACTCAGTATCGGGGAAGTAGTTTTTTCGCAGCAAAGAGACCATGTGCATGGGTGCTCACTGTTCAAACAAGGTTACGTATTTAACTCTCACCGTAATAAAAACGTTATTAGCCAGATATGGCACTGTGTTACATTGCCAGTTACATTGCCAGTTACATTACTAAAAACTTAGTAAAAACACGTTGCAGATGAATTGCAGATGAATGGTGAAGACTTCCAAAAGGGCTCGCGGCGGAAGATGTCTACCCTCTTGCACGACTTCGATCACTGAGATCACTGTGACAGAGCTCACACAAATTTTAGGCACATCTGCGATAACAGATGTTGCTGGTCATCACAGATACTCACCGAACCAGGCTGTGTTTTGGGTGCGAGCATGGAAGGGACAATCATTAATAGTAACCGTGGCATCAGAGAGAGAGAAACTAAAAACTGCTAGTGAAATTGACCAGTACACTTGTGTGCACTTGCCGACAGCTCTTCCACCGCATCTTCAGCAATTGGAAAACTGCACCGGCCGCTGTGAGGAGTGAGTGTGATGAAAGCAGTGGGGCTCTGCGTGGTCAGTTCTAAACAACACGGCACAGCACCACCGCTGCACGGCATGGTGTGGCACACGGTGTCGAGCAGGTCATCGTCTTCAAGCAGTGCACCATCGAACATCACAATGTACTGCTACAACTTAGACTCCCGGACACCAGTGCCAGGTGATGTGCGCCGCAACCTCACACCAGGACTTCACTACACTCGCAACATACTGATCAATGCACCCGACCCCGCAGTTCACTTCAACATTTGCAGACATTGGCTGAGGGATTAACCAATACGGCTGAGGCTACCTAAGATGATGTGACGACAAACATGGGTCTACCACCTTTCTCCTTGGCGGAGACCTTAACCAATGTTACCATTGCAGCGGCAACTACATGCCACTCGGTTGTACGCAACTGCCACGGTGCACGTCTTATCATGGAGGCAGCTAGTGAGGACTCCAGTCAATGATGAAAGATGATGTGGTACCTACACCAGCACGCCAGGCGTGCTGCAAACTCTAAACCCGGCAGCTACGGCCAGTGAAAATTATCGTAGCTAGATCCAAGACCTACATCAGGTGAGGGAGCCGAGTGTCGATGCGATTTGCATTCATGGCTACATGCACTTGCATCTTCTGAATGAAACAATGCCACATGGGGCATTGCCATGTCAATATCATTGGAGCAGAGCTCACCACACAGCGTAACGTGGTGTTATGTTGTAAGCCGGTTGTGGCACTCTCGTATCACTGCTGAGACTATGTGCATGGGGCTTTGAGCTGCACACCAACTACTCGCCAACTACACATGGAGTATGTCATGGCCAGCATCTGCCAGGTGACAATGCTACGCTGAGCTGGCTGAATCCATACTGATACCCGGTAGACTGAATGCAGGCTCCTGATGCACAACGTGGCAGTCAGGGTTCATGTACAGTATAACAGTTACTGATGCTACTCATGCTGATGCTACTCATGCTGATGCTACTCATGCTGATGCTACTCATGCTGATGCTACTCATGCTGATGCTACTCATGCTGATGCTGACGGTTGCTGATGCTACTCATGCTGATGCTACTCATGCTGATGCTACTCATGCTGATGCTACTCATGCTGATGCTACTCATGCTGATGCCACTCATGCTGATGCTACTCATGCTGATGCTGACGGTTGCTGATGCTACTCATGCTGATGCTGACGGTTGCAGTCGACGAACTGCACCCAATCCCAAGCAAAGCGGCAACCAGATGATCACAGGATGTCAACCGCCGTACTGACCAGACTGACCGGCGTTTCCTGGTTGCATATTTGGAGGGTGCGTGCCCTCCTGGCCATTCAGTATAATGATAAAGCAGAGGATATGATATTGTTTGTGTTGGCAGTGGCACATAGCGCTGAACTTCATTGTCTCAGCAACTTTTCCTTATGTTCCCCCTTTCACTTAGCATATGCTGTTTTTGATATGCTTGGTGAAGGCTAAGAGCAGCTGGTGATCGTAGATATGTCGCAGTGTACAGCTGGCAATTTCATTAACACTCAGTCATTGACTCCCAGGTAGCTGCTGCTAAAAACGCGATGACAGAACTCATTGGGGAAAACTATTCTACTTGACCGCAATCCTCAGCTCCTCATGATCTTTCTCCAGCCCTGTTTGACTAAGAGCGCATCAAGGTGGACTGTCTCTCTTGGAAGCTAGCTTTCCTCAGATAGAACAAGCTAGGTTGGCATTCTCACAGGCGAATGACCCTTGTTTATTTATTTATTCATATGAGCTATTTGAAGTACACAAATTAAAATCTGTGGCCGTAACTATTAAATACTTCAAGATTTTTCAACACAGGTTTCTGCATATGAATCAGTGAGAATTTGAGTTTTAGGTATGCTATCTAACTCAATTTGACCAAAAATGCCAATAGCACCCTTTTCTCAGCCTGAGGCTCCAATATGAATGCATGCTGTCGTGCCAAACCATTATTACTGCACTACATCCTACGGAGTATTTTAGTATTAACTGGTGCTGCTAACCAATCCAATTCCTTTAAAAATGGAGACATCGTGTAGTTTTCCCTGGCACAGTACTGAGCAGGGATTCGAGACCGTACAGATCATACACTGCACCTGCAAGTGTGTTTCATCGTGGTACAGTAGAGCCGTGTGTCCAAGAACGTTGTTTCCAAGCCTGGGGTGTTCTTATTTTTGTTCAGCAATCTAGCTGCATTCTTAGAAATAATTCGTACTGGATCATATAATATGCTATAATATCTATCCCAAAAGCTGCCGGAAAACTAGCACCTCCATTCTTAACTTTAGGCTGTGGCGTTCTTAGCATTTCAGGCTGGACGTTTTGGGCTCAACGTCCTTCGGCGCGCGACTACTGTATGTTGCTGGTTGATTCCATTCCGTATGCGGGCCAGTAGCAGGGCATTTTGAGATTAGTCTACCAAGCAACTAGCGTACATCTTGTTTTCTCTAGCACTACAATGCTGCTCAACAAAATCCAATCGCGTCACTCATGTACCATGTACCATGTATACGCCCGTCGCAAGAGAAGCACGCAAATCTGCAAATGCACTGGATGTGCACCCACAGATTTTCTCTTATAGCAACGATAGCGAACAAGATCTGAACGAGACAGATCAAGACTTGCGCCAGATAACTGTCTAATCCACACAACTAGCGAAGCCATGTGAATCGACCACCAATGCACACCTGGTCTACACCACACGGAGTACATCGGTATAAAACGGCCAAGACAGATATCTATGCACACCCTACACTTGCTGGGGTAACCAGTATAGACAGCACGCTGCTTTGATAGAAGCAGACACTAGATGCACTGGCACCTTGAAGTGAAATTGGAGTTACTTTACCAACCAGCCTCGGCTACTGAGTACTGGGAACCCAGAGCCAACAGACATACCAACAACCTCAGCCATGAAAGCTATAATAGTAACGACACACTCATGTACGCGCCGGGCATTGCGCGGCCCTGGACCTGCCAACACTGGGCTTCGAAATGGTGCAAGGCGCAAACTGGATTTCATTGAGCAGGACTGTAAGTAAATATTTAATATAAGCACAGTCTCCAATAAAGGTACGCTGCATATGTGGATTGAAAGCAGAATGCTGACAGTCTCCAATCGTCCACCAGAGTGAGCCGCGTGGCCGGCACTGCATGCGGTGGTTCTAGCAGGGAGTTCGTTTGTTTTTTTAGTATGGACCCGCTGGGTTTTTTCATGGTGACCAAAGTCTCTTTTACTGGCAAAATAAACGGCATAAGCAAGACTTGAATTGCGTGATAAGAACAAAGACAATGCGTAACAATCATCAAGAGTCCATAAACAAACAAAAACTGTTTATGCACTCTTGGTAACATCTGTCCCCGGGGAAACGTGCTTGCTTTTTATTTATTTATTTATTTATTCAACATCTCCTGGCCCGTCCGAAGACTGCCAATAAACATGAGAGGTCAGGTGATAGCCAACCACGGCAAGCTAAAAGGGAGAAAAAGAAAGATGCTGTCAGAGAGGGAAAGGAGATAGGGAGAGAAAAAGAAAGGGAGGCACATTAGTAATACATGGGATCACTTCGGATGAGACAGTGTGGAAAGCTGGACTTTGAATTTCCTGATATCCTGGCATGTCTTAATGCTAGTAGGCAGGTTAGACCAAAGGGAGTATGCTGAGAAGAAAGGGGATTTCAAAAACAGAGAGGAACTAGCTCGGGGCAGTGATAAGGCATTGCGTGTTGGTCTAGTGGTAACAAACCAGTTGTACTTGGCAATATGTTTCGGGACTTGGGCTAGGAAGATTTTTTGCACAAGGATACAAAGATGCTGCTGATGTCGGGCAAGAAGAGGGTGCGTGGAAGCAAGTTTATAAAGACAAAGGGAGGCAAATGTTTGGTCTTTTCGAAACAGAATTTTCAGAAGCAAGCGTTGATGTACTTCCAGTCTGTGGAGTAAAGTCTGAGACAACCCGCACCAAGCTATATCGCAATAGTCAAATATAGGCAAAATGTACGACTTAAAGAACAATTTTCTGCAGTTATCATTCAAGTGTTGGCAGTGGGGTTGTAGCATACCTAAGGACGCACTCGCACGCTTGCACACAGACTGGACTTGTGGAGACCAGGAGAGTTGGCGGTCGAGAATAACGCCCAGGTGCTTGTGCTCGTTAACAACTTTAATAGGTGTACTATTTAGACCAGGAAAATACAGAAGCTGAGTGGGGGGCGAGGGAGAGAAGAACATGGCCTCGGTTTTGGCGAGGTTAGGCTTCAGTTTCCAGGTTTCCATCCATGTTACTGTAGCGTTGACCCCGGACTGCATGGAGGCCGTGAGGTTGTCTGCCGAGCTGTTGGAGCACATCAGAGCAGTGTCGTCAGCAAAAAGACTTACATTTGGTACAAGGGCTGGCAAGTCATTAACGTACAGTAGAAATAGGAGCGGCCCAAGTATGGACCCCTGGGGTACCCCAGACACGACTAGTAATGGGTCTGATAGGGAGGTAGATACTCTGACAGTCTGGTGGCGGCAGGAAAGATAGGATGAGAGCCATTGCAGGGCTGGACCATGTACCAAGAAGACGGACTCTAGCTTTGCAAGCAGACCACGATGCCAGACGGTGTCGAAAGCTTTCGCTAGGTCAAAGAACACGATGCCAACATGCCGCCTGAGGTTCCGCTGGGTGTAGATGTCTTGTACTAGACGTGTTAGTTGGAAAGTTGTGGAGTCTCCACGGCAGAAACCGGATTGAGATGGTGAAAGCGCTGGGGTGACGTGGCAGTACAGAGACTCAAAGAAAATACGTTCACAGACCTTTGACACAGCGGGAAGGAGAGAGATTGGTCTGTAGTTGCCAGCCTGAGAGCGTTGGCCTTTCTTATAGATCGGGACGATAACAGCAGATTTCCAGACGGACGGAAATACTCCTGTACGATATGACATGTTAAAGAGCAGGCACAAGGGATAGGACAGAGATGGCGCAAGCCATTTGAGAACCTCATTGGGTATGCCATCTTCGCCAGGGGACTTACAATTCTTCAGGAGTTTGAGGTGCTTACAGACGGTAGCAGTCGTGGTAACGACGCGTGTGAGTGGTGCGCTAAGTTCAGGGGCTGGGGACAGCGATGGAATGTCCCAATTCGGATCCTCCGGAATGCCGGATGAAACAAACTGCTTGTTCAGTGTGTCTGCAATCGCCTTCACATCGTGCTGGCGGTTGCCATTGGAGTCCGTCAGGTACTGGATTGGCGCGCGGGAGGTCCCGCGGCACTGGTTGCGAATGAATTGGTGGAGTGATGGGCGATCGGGGGAGGAGAGTGTTGCAGAAAGAGAGTTTAGAAAGGAGCGGTGTGAGGTACGAGAAAGGTGCTTGACGAAGTTGCGTTGAACTCGGTAAGCCTCCCGGTTAACCGGCGTTGGGAATTTCTTGTAGATGCTGAAAAGATCACGCTTGCGCTTCACTTCAGATACGAGGGACCGTGTCACCCATGGGGGACTAGATGTCGAGGATGTTGGGTTGGAATGTTTCCGGTTGTTGTAGCCGATAGCAAAGTTAGAGAGGTGCTGTTGGAACCCTCGTTCAAGGACGGCTGCAAAGTGATCTACCGCGGCGTCAACAGTTGGAGAGCCTTCTGGTTGCAGAAACGACCAGTCGTGGCAGGAGAAATCAGCGTTCATAGAGTCCCAGCACTGAGAGGGAACTCGACGGAAGCGATATGGGAACGGTTTGCGAGAAGGAAGTGGCAGGTCTGGGTCCGAGGGCAATGAGACGGCGAACTGGCATGAAACCATGAGATGGTCCGAGGAGCCAAGAGCGCAAGCTGTGTGAACGTCCGTCGCCAGCAGGGGTTGGTTTGTGAAGACAAGGTCTAGACATGACTGTGTTCCGGAAGATGTTGTGTGCGTTGGACTCTGCACCAGCTGATCCAAACCGAAGCAGGTAAGGGTGCGAAAAAGTGCCGCCCCAGCAGGACACGTTAAATCCGATGGGCACCACCGTTTGTGCTTACTGTTGAAGTCCCCAGCCATTATGACATGGTACGATGACATGGGAACGGTTACCAAAGCACTAGCTAGCATATCACAGAAGTGGTCTATTTCCGTGGTTTTGACTGAGGGCGGACGGTAGGTACAGCAGACGAGGATGGGTTTCGGGGAGCCTAAGATTGGGTGAAGCTCAACCCATACGGATTCACAGGTCGGACGAGCAAGGTCGTCGCGAACTTGGACTCTTCCGAAGCGATTTTGCCGGACAAGAATCGCAACTCCACCATATCCTCTGGTTGCCGTACCGGATTTGTTATCATGAGGTGGTCGGTCGCGACGAAATGTGGTATAACCGGAGATGGTGAGCGCTATGCTTGGATTTAGCCATGTTTCATTTAGACAGATGACATCAGGTTTGTTGAAATCAGCAATGACAGACAGTTCGGCAGATTTGTTAACGATTGAGCGGCAATTTACGGAAAGCAAGGTCAGTTTACCCTGGCAAGGGGGGAAGTAGGGCCGAGCCAGTGGATTCAGCTGTGGTCGCGCCATCATGCTGAGCCTGAGGAGAGGACGTTGTTTGCCTGGTTGGCATTGCTGGTGTCAAAACTGTCCGCGGCAAAACGCCAGGGCCTAACCGTGTGCGAAAGAGCATCCGGCCAGAACCCTTTGTCACCGACTGTGTTCTCATCAGCTGCCTCGACGGTCACCCGTGCGTAGGCAGTTCTGAAGTGCTTGGATGCAAATATGACACCTTCCTGAATCTGCACTCCTCGGGCAGAGCACCATTCAGCAATTGATGATGCGGAGCAGTGTGGCTGCACGTTGCCAACGTAAAACACTTTGCGTTTGGCCCGGGGTGATGCCGTGAGGTCTACTGCCGGCTCGCTATCACGAGCCGGCTTGGTGTAGCGGGATGTTTCCACCCGCCTTGTTATGCTTTGAGCTAGCTGGGACTGACTACTAGTATCTGCCGCGTGCCTTTGCACATAAGGCCGTCATCACACTACGTTCTCCCACTCCCGTCTACGTCTGTGGTGAAAAAACCAAAACGGGTGGGTGTGTCATCATCAGACAGGCACAGTTCTTGACGCGTACACGCAGTCAGGTTTTTGGAGAAATTTGAACGCATGTACTTGGCAAACCAAAAATTTCGTCGTGAATTTAATTTCGTCATCTTCGTCCAAAGAACTTTTGGACTAAATTAAATGCCGGACTAAATTTTTTGCCAAATGTCAAAATAGTATATTTTTGTAGGTATACAAGTATACACACACACACATGTACTAGTACCATATCCGCGCACAAAGGTAGGTTTGAATTTCAATTTTTACCCCCCCCCCCCCCACACACACACGCACACACATGCATGACTCTCGAGGACCAGCAATTTTGCTAATTTTGCACATAAGGCCGTCATCACACTACATCGAAGTGCAGGGTCGTATACCCCCGGGGCCCCTCTCCATACCAAGTCTACGTCTCCCGTTTTCACCCCGTATACGGATCATCATCTGTTTTGTAGTTCCAGGAGAGAGTTAAGCCCGATTCACAATACAACTTTTTGCGACGCGACAAGCGATTTGCGACAGTTGCGACAAGAAACTGCCTGTCGCGAGCTGTCGCAAGCTGTCGCAATGCACCTGTCGCAGAAGTTGAAGAAAGTTCAACTTTTGCGACCTGCGACACGCGACATACACAAATGGAGTACAGTTTCGACCCTGGGTGCACGTGCAGTGCACGTGCAGAGTACTACTTGTGCATGAGGATGTCGCAAACATGAAGAATATTGTGAACCGTGTGTCGCTGTCGCAGCTCGTCGCGTCGCAGAAAGTTGTATTGTGAATCGGCCTTCAGGGGCCGTTTACATGAGAAAAATAAGCCCGGGCTTATTCAACCCTAGGCGTACGATAAGCCCGCCTTGATCTGTCACCCAGTCATTTCAGAGCGCGCGTTTACATGCCGTCCTCAGCCGCTGTGCAGACATCCTGTGTGTACCTCTGGCTAAACTATTCAACTACAGTCTTGAGCAAGGCGAGTTCCCTTCCGCTTGGAAGATGGCCACGATTATCCCAGTGTACAAGGAGAAAGGTTGCCCAACTCACCCTACGAACTACCGCCCAATATCCCTCCTCCCCTGTATAGCAAAACTCTTTGAAAAAATAGTAGCGAAACAACTCCAGGCTTACCTAACAATAAAACAGAAGATATGCAGTCAACAATACGCGTACGTGAAGGAGAAGTCTGCGACAGACCAGCTTATTATACTTACCCAGCAAATGGCCGACTACATTGATGAGCGTCTGAACTTCGACCTGGTCTCCCTAGATTTCTGCAAGGCATTCGACAGAGTAAGCCACTCAACTCTCCTCCGTCAAGTCAGCAACTTCTCGGACCATAAAGTCACTGCCTGGACTAAGAGTTATTTGCAGGATCGAAGCATAGCCGTGAAGATTGAGTCATGCATGTCAGTGCCCAAAGTCACCAACTGTGGTGTTCCCCAGGGATCGCATCTGTCTCCTCTACTGTTCGTGATCTACATTAATGACCTACCAGAAGCCATACATCATTCGCACACCTTCTTGTTTGCGGATGATGTCACTCTACTTTTGCCGTACAAAGGCTCTCTGTCAAGTCCTGGTATCCAAGCGGACATTCATGCATGTCAAAACTGGGCCAGGGAAAGAGGCGGAGAGTTTTCGCCCTCAAAAACTTCTGTTTTAAGCTTCCGTTATAAGCCAGCGGCAGCATCATCACCAGCACCAACATCTGCCACCTACACTATGGAGGGTCTACCTCTTCCCAGTATTGACATCCTCAAACATCTGGGAGTTCGCTTCAGTGCAGACCTAAACTTCCGTCAGCACTACCTTGACATCAGTCGCAAATTCAAGCAGAGAGTAAGCCTACTTTGTCACATGGCACATCGTCTTACACCGCAGGCCATGATGCTCCTCTACAAGTGCTATGTTAGACCTGTGATTGAGTATAGCGTCGTAGTGTGGTCCTTTCGTCTTCGTTCAAGCGACTTGACTGAGCTGGATAGAGTCCAGGCCAGGTTTGCAAGATCCTACCTTAGGAAACGCAAAATCCAAATCGACTTTAATACACCCAAGCAGGATCTTAATAAAAAAGCTAACATTGAATCCCTTCTTTACCGCAGGCAGTTTTTAAGCTTGGTTACCATGCACAAATTTATTTTCAAGTATCGACGTTGCCTAGCTTCATTCCATTTCAATATCACGCAGAGTGCGAGACGCCCTAACAAAATTATTCTCCCTAAAGCAAAGACCACATCAAAATCGTTGTTTCTCTTCCAAACCTCCCTCTTATGGAACTGCCTCCCACCAAGACTAACTGCAGAACCATCCATTATTGTTTTCAAGAATGAGCTTCGCAAACTCACTTGCAAACATAGTGCTTCGCTCTCCGGTATGCCTACGCCATGTACATAACCCCCCCCCCCGTGTGCTCCCCAACGCATTCACGCTGCACAACTTTTCACTACTTTCACTTTAGCTCATACGTGTACATGTACATCCTTCAAAGCGGTGAACCCCTTGATAGGCGACAAGCCTCTGGGTCATCCTAATAAAGATATTATTATTATTTACATGGTCAGGCGGGCTTATTCAGCTCGCCCCGAGCTGAACTAGCCCTACCCTTGACCCCCGAGCTTATCCAACCCCCAGGGCTTATTTTGTAATGTAAACGGTCAACTTAGGAAGGGCTTATAAGCGAGTTTTCCGTATTTTTCGGTTTTGCCTCGTGAACCTGAGAGAATGTGGCCGTGGACAGTGCGTCTCTTTTATTTATTTCTTGGTATGTCTTCTTCTGTTTTTTGTCCAGTGGAAGGTCCTAGCCCATCCTTCACCTTCTCGAAAAATAAGTGACAATTGGAAAGGCAGTAGAAACCTGAGCCGGCATTTCTTGATCCAAACTTCATCAGACACGAACATTTACCACTGTGTTCATGTGCGATTTGAAAAATAAAATGCGCGCAGAACTCGCAGTCACTCACTTGAGCTCAGCCCCGTACAACTGTCATCAAGAGTACATAACCCCCAGAGTGTGCAACGCCGATCCAGCTCTGTGTAGGGTCTTGGTCGAGCGGAATCGGATCTTCTGATGTCATGCGTACACTTCACACCAGCGCAAGGCCGGTTTCGAGGCAGGGCACCATTGTTTTTGATCCAAGACTAAGCAAGAGTACCCGCGACTCCCCGGGTTCCCCTCAGATGTGTACGGTATTATGACGCAAAGATCCGATTCCGCTCGACCAAGACCCTATGCAGAGCTGGATCAGGCGTTGCACACTCTGGGGGGTTATGTACTCTTGCTGTCATGTAAACGGTTGAAAAACAGCCCCTTAGTCTTTCTCCCATGCAAGTAGTTTGCCACGTTCTCGCTCCTTTTCCTTTGCTAGAATGCATCTGTAATGTATTTCAGTTTGCTGATAACGAGTGGTAAATATTAGAGAGGTTCCGCACTACGTAAAGTTGAGGAACTTTACGTTAGTGGGCGGGGAAAACCCGTGAATTCGCGAGTTTGCACTCCACTTACGGAAAGTTGTCTACGGAGAGTACGTAGATAGGGCTCTGATAACGTAGCTGGTCCGTAAGTGGATTGGGCATGGGGTACAAATTTATGACTTTCTTCCCAGGTCGATCTGGTCGTACACTGCCGCGTTCGGAGTTGCCAAGGGCAGCTACGTGATTTGAAAACTCCGTATGGCGGAACACAGATGCGCATGCAGTTTACGTAAGACTTTCCGTAGATCGACTACGTTTTTTACTAACGTAATTACGTTATGGGGAACCTCTCTATTAACAGGGCCTAGGGCCCTGTCCGGGCCGCGGGGTAACAATTGTTTTGCGAAATGAAAAGTTTTAGTATTTTCCAGCCACCACACCCACGCACCCTTAGGGCCCGGTCACGTCACACATGCATTGGGGTTTCGCTTCGGCGGCAGCGAGCCTGGTGTCGCTCCAGCGAAACCACGTGTGTATGGTCACACATGCAAATAGGGCGCAACTCCTACTTTGGCGGAAAATGAGAGTAAAGTGGACTGTGGTACATACGGTACGGAGAATAGACGAGGTCTCGACTATCTTCCACGCATTTTTGTTGCATGGACATGATACGCATACAAATTTCTCGTAGCAAGTCCATATACAGCAGACCGTGGTGTTTTCCGCGGAAGCGAATCCGCAGAAGCGAGTCTCGCTTCGAAAATTTTGGCGGAAGCGGATTGGAGTTTCCGCTGAAGCGGAAGTTCCGCTTTTCGCCGTTGCCATGCCATTTTTCGCTCCTGCGACCTCGCTTCAGCGTATACGCTACTTTCGAGTGCATGTGTGACCGGGCCCTTACAGATTTCTCCATATCATGAACATTTATTTTCAAAGCAAAACTCCTAAAACCCACTCACCCCCGGCCCCAAACGAAAACATTTCGTTTTGAAAATGCTATTGGTAACCTTGGACAGCCCCTTTATACAGTAATGCATGGTACAGCGCAAACCATGGAAGCAAGGGACACACACACGTACGCAAACAAGAAGACCAGATTAGGGTAGCATTGCTTGCTATCTGTTACCGATCATTGGTATAAAGCTAGAGATAACAAGACCAGGCATCACAAGACACGACCCGTGATTTGAATACAACTAAAAAAAACCCTCACAATCTAGAAATGGTAAGAAATGAGGTGAGTAATGAGGATGATGAACAAGTTGTTAGCATAGTTATGGGTTAGCGGGCAAGCCAAGCGCTGTTGGCGACAATACAGCTTGCAAGCAGGACAACACGAGAATGCCAAGGTGAACTATTGAACTAAGTCTAAGGGACATATCTACAGCTCGTCTCTGGGGGACTCCTCCTCCTGATCTTCCTCAGCCTCCTCGGTCTCCTCTTCTTCTTCACCCTCAGCATCAGCCTGAGCACAACCAAGAGAACCAACCGAGTGTCACATGTAGACTCACACACAAGCATTATTATTATCACACGGGCAGGAGCGCAGAACAGTACAAACAGATTGGGTGGTGAAACTGAGCGGAAAAAATGCTGTAGGGTAAAGCTTCTATCAATGAACAGCAGCCTGGTATACCGGAACCAAGAGTACACAACCCCCCAGAGTGTGCAACGCCGATCCAGCTCTGTGTAGGGTCTTGGTCGAGCGGAATCGGATCTTCTGATGTCATGCGGACACTTCTCACCAGCGCAAGGCCGGTCTCGACGCAGGGCACCATTGTTTTTGATCCAAGAGTGCCCGCGACTGCCAGGGTTCCCCTCAGATGCGTACGGTATTATGACGCAAAGATCCGATTCCGCTCGACCAAGACCCTATGCAGAGGTGGATCAGGCGTTGCACACTCTGGGGGGTTATGTACTCTTGCCGGAACCTGCAAATACAAGAGTCTCTTGATATCAAGGTGTACAGTACTGTCGGGCGCTGAAGAACCGGGGGGGGGGGGGGGCAGGGTTCTAGCCTAGCCCGTTCTTTTTTTTTTAACAAACACAGCAGTTGTTTCGTTCTTATTCGATTGCACAGTAATATATGCACATTTATGCAGAGTAACACGTCTGAGTGTACATTAGAGTGTATATTACGGTTTCCGTTCTTATCTTCAAAAATCCAGCCAGCAGCGCCGATCTTCGGCGCCCGACAGTACGGTAGCTGCACATTACTACGGATATCAAAACCAACAACAAATCCACATGCATTCACCAGACTGACCTCTGTGGTCTCTTCCTCTCCCTTCTTGGCCTCTTCTTCAGCGGCCTTTGTCTTGGCCTCCTCCTCATCAATCTGTGGTGTAGAACAAGAGCAGTACATACTGATTAGTCGACCACACGGTGAAGTGGAAGATACTGTAAAAGCAGAAATTTTCGGTAACTTCGTCGCCGACAATTTTTACCGAAAATAAAACGCACCGAAAATTTCGGTACTACTGGTACTGTATACATTTAGTACTAGCACACTTACCTGGAAAACAGGTTTTACCGAAAATTTCCCGCTACCGAACCGCCGATTTTGGAGAATACCGAAAATATTACACCACCGAAAATTTCTGCTTTTACAGTACATGTGCTGAGAACTGCAGGTGTGAACCTCAGCCTGTCGTACACTATTGGACAATCACCAGAACATATGAATTCCAGCTGAAACGGCTAAGACATGCGGCCAGCAGGCGCGCAACTGGGCCACAAGGGTACATGCATCCAAGAGCGACAAAACTCACCTTGGCCTTGGCAGCCTTCTCGGGCTCCTTGGTGGCACCCCATGTGTCAGTACCGACCTGAGCGGCATAGTCGACGTCGTCAGTCACCAAGATGTTGTCAAAGATGGTACCAGCCTTGACCTGTAGCAGCAGAGGTGCAAGCACAGAGATAAGATAAGATTGATTAGTCGAGGGATGCAGGGCTTCCGGGCAGCAGTAGTGAGCTAGGAATGGGAAGCAACGTGTATTTTTTAATCAGGTCATCCTGCCTAGAACAGTCTAGTGTGCAACATCTCTCAAAATGTGAACAAGAACCACACGATGATCCCATAGTGGCAATGACTCGGATGCAGCACAGACAAGGCATTTGCATCGTCGCATACCTGCCAAAGGTCGAAACCAACGGCACCGACATCAGTGTAGCGGTACAGGCTGTCGTCAGCGCTGTAGTCGGGGTTGTCGATCTGGGGATGGACCCATGATCCCTTGTATGCTGGGTTGTCGATCTGACGTGGCTTCCACTCGCCCTGAGCAACACACACAATAGAAAGTAGAATGAAATATTTGAGAACACCCACAAGGTGAAGATGCCACTTGCAGTGCATACTTTGACACAAATCAGCATTGAAAACAACACAAGATATAAACTTGCTAGGGGACTAACCTTGTACTCTGGGTTGTCAATCATGGGTGGCTCCCACTCGCCATCGACATCATCATCCCAGTCCTCGGGCTTCTCGGCATCAGGGTCGGGAATGTGCTCGGGCTTGTCATAGCCCTGTCAGCAAAAATAACAACAAAAACAATTTACATGTACAAACAGCAAGCACTGTGAATATGCTTATACAGCATACGTGTATTGAAGTCGACACAAACGCTCAACTAGCGCTAACAGATGAAAACAAAAAAGAGAGACCGCAAGTAGGACAAAAATATACAAGCACACGATGTACTAACCTCGGGCTTGGAGTCCTCGGGGTCGTCAATCTTCTCCTCATCAACCCAGTCCTTGGGCTTGCTCTCGTTGGGGTCATCGATCTGCTTGGGGGCCAGGAAGTCCCAGTCCTCCTCAAGCTTGCCACCTTCAACACGCTCGTTGTCGATCTTCACCTCGTAGGTGTTGTCGGGGCGGAGGATGAGAGTGTACAAGTGGGTGAACTCGTCATCCTTGCAGGCAATCTCCTTCTTGATCAACTTGTTGTCTCCCTTGTAGTTGAAGATGACATGCACCTTCTTGGTGGAGTAGCCGCAGATGTCAGGTCCTGAGTAATAGGGAGCAATCATGACAAACATGCTGTTAGATCAATATTCTAGAAAAGTAATAAACAGCAATCCAATTCGTGTCATAGGTACACATTGTGACAATAGCATGCCAAGCGCTGCATGAGAATTGTACTCACCGAACATAACGTAGTACTGGCTGTCGCCATTGAATGTCTTCTGCTTCAGGCCAGTGGGGAAAAGCTAAATAAAGAAATCAAGGGACGGCAAAGAGGAACAGGGAAGGTGAGCGGAAGATTAGTTCACAGCCATTACGGTACGCCCAGTACAAGTACATGTATGTAGATTGACTAGCTCGCCATAAAAGGTGGATAGACGTTTGCATGAATGTTCCACAAGGGAGGGCAAAAGAGAGACTTCTCTCGTTATGTAGACTGACGTAAAAAAAAGTTACTGACTTTTTGTAGTACACAGTCACGGCAAAATTTGACGAAAATAGCACCATTTATCCTCTTCAAGTAGAGTATGAGAATGACCTAAAACAAACGAAACTAAACACCTCTATGCTGGGGTCATTTCTATCAGCAACGGGTTATTCAATCGTGTCTTTTCGTACAAAGTGTGTGTGTGTGTGTGTGTGTGTGTACTGGTTGACCTGCCACAATAAATGCACCATTGTATAGTATCAATTTGCAAACTTGTCAGGGAAGATCACATCTCATCATCTACTCAAAACTCGATTAAAGAAGTGCACAGATGAATAGCAAAGTGGAAATGTCCAAGGCTGTACACGCCTGCCATACCTTGATGTATCCACCACCGCAGTCGATCTTCTGCTCGTGCTTGACAGTGAACTGCAAGACCAAGGTCTTACCCTCGTTGGAGAACTGGTCGAAAGCAGCACTGGCGTGGTAAAATCGGGCATCAGTACTGGTCTGAATACCTGTTAGTGCACGGGACATACAAACGAGCCATACAGCAGTAAGGACACACGTTGAAACAAGAAAGGAGACATTCAAGTTCACAGGAAGGTCAGCTACGGGGAAACCACAAAGCTCGAAAGCTTGCTTACCTTGGTCCTTCTCTGCGTCTCCGTAGAATTTTCCGGCGGTCAGTTTAAACTTGGCTCCCTCGCTGCCCTTGGCAGAGGAGTGGACCCAGCGTTCCTCCCACGAATCTCCATCTGCATATCCAGTTTCCAAAAATAAAAGAACGTAGGACCGGACCTTCAGTTTCTGCGTCTACAGCACTCGATTGCAATCACTTTTCTCATCTTCTAACTTACCCTCAAACTGATCATTGAAGTACACGGTCGGCTCAGCAAGAGCCAGGCCCAAAAGGGCCGCAAGAAGAAGACACCGCATGTCGAAACCTCTCCCAACTCGTTCGCAAAGAGACAACAGGTGGGAGGAAGGAACGAATCTGATAACCAGCTGATCACACGTGTGATAGAAAGTTTGCGTCAGCCATCAGATGTGGAAAGTTCCCATTGGTCAGAAGATGTATCCTAGCAACTAGCTGCACTGACCACAGGAAAGTTTTCATCAGAAGACAGGTTTACGATAACTTGCCCAGTGAAGATTTGATTTCCATAGATTTCCCTTCGGGTTTTGCCGACCAAGTGTTCTGTTTTCTCCGGTGATCCAGTGAACTCGCACTTTTTTTTATAGCTCCTGCCCAGGACTCGGCAGGACTTGATGCCGGGTCGATCGTACCAATCGAACACACCCGCAAGTTGCGCAACTACCGCAAAGGCGCAAGTACCGGTATACCGGTAGTTCCTTGCAGGGAGTCGTAAAATACCGGTATTTTACGACTCCCTGGTTCCTTGTCATCGACATCGGACCTTGATGACCAGATGACTGATCGACGCCCTTCACGCGAATGTACGGTGCATGCAATGCCATACATGTGAATGTACGGTGCATGCATGTACCGCGTACCGGCGCGCCGGCGTAGATCTACGTGTGGTATCAAGAGTAGATCTACTCTTGGTGGTATGCAGAGAGTGGGCGATACACGCGGCGGTAATGCAATGCATGGTCGACGAGTCCGCGCCAGGCCATTTGCGCGAGTCCGCGCTTCCAAATGCGAACCCGGAGCCCAAAAGAAAAGGAGTCGGAACCTTTTCAGCTTTTGTTCTCCAAGAGTCCAAGTCCAAGCTTCTCATATCTTCGTATCTGGTCACACTATTATCAAGAGTACATAACTACACAGTTATGTACTCTTGCTATTATGTGTAGATCTACACTGTCTGTACATGTGGCAGGTAGTAGTAGTAGTAGTAGTAGAATTTATTATTTTGATAGGGAAGGCCCTACAGACGTTGCCGTCTTGTTACAGGGAACCCTAAGTGCTCTTTACAGAGCGAAACAAAAACGGATAGATGCTCAACCTGACGACACGAGACAGGCAGAGAATTCCACCTATCAGCGCCAAGGAAAGAAATGGAGAACATGCCATATCTAGTGGTAGCAGCGGGCAAAGAAAGTGAAGAGAATGATTGCCCTCTAGTGCGCCTCTCGGTGCAAGTAGCAGCCGACTGGAGGGTGAACATTGAGGAAAGAAGAGGACTTGTAAGCTGATGAATACAGCGGAAAACAAAAATAAAAAGCCTCAAGTTGAGACGAGATTCGAGGGAGTATAACTTAGCGTGCCGCAAAACAAAGACAGTCGGGGTACGGCGAGGGAGACCAAAAACCTGTTTCATGCTGATATGACTTAAAGTAACAAGGCGAGAGTATAAAGATGGTGTAAGACAGTGTCTACAGTACTGTCCCTCCCATGCTTCTCCGTCTTGACCATTACTTTTCTCCTTTTCTTCTTTTATTCACCATGGTTGGTTAACACCCACATCTCCCGTACTGGCTGATTTTCTTCTCATGCCATGAGGTGTTGTCTATAATAATAATAATAATAATAATAATATCCAAGCTGCCAAGGCTTCGGTTTGCAATCCATGGGAGATACCTGTAGATATCGGAAAAGGGGACTTGCGTGTAAGTTGTGGACAAGACAACATAGTGTAGCCAATAGGAATATCCCTACAAGTAGTCAAAGAATGTAATTTTTTTACAATGATCACAGCTCGGGGAGAATGAAGACACCACTGCAGCTGTACTTATGGTTGATAAATATGGTGGTAAAGACACACCTGGCAATATGGCGGTAAACACACGCCTGCGCAGCTGCCCACACACGCTCTCTAAGCTGCAAAGTTCTGGCACATGATCACAGCTCACAGGCAAAGACAAAAAATACATAGTGGGAGCATAGTGATGGTGAGGCTTTTTGCCCTCAGCTGACCTGAGGTCTGGACGTCATGGGGACATAAACGCACCAAAAAAGAAAGAGGACGAAAAATGAAAGGAGACAGGTACATGATATGAAATGTTAGGAGGAGAGACAGTGCATTAGAAGGAGGGGAGGATAAGACAGACAGTGCTAGGAGGAGAAGGAGAGATAAGAAGAACAGACGTTATTGGGAATAGTATGTGGGGCGGAATTTGGAAGTCATGGGGTGAGGCAGATATGATGCTGCCGCGGATACTCAGAGATAGTCGTGTGGCCACGACCAGTCAGTCGTTGGTCTTCAAATAGCGGTTGGCTGCAGCTTTGAAATGTTGCAAGTTCTTGGTGCAGAATGGACTAGAGAAGGCTCCGGCGGGCAGCTGGTTCCAGACTGGGGCAACTGCGTGACGGTAGGCTCGACACAGGTTGTTTCGGGAACGGACTGGAAGTTCATTTGCCAGTTGGTATGCGTGAGCATTATATCTCTGGAACGTACTACGGGTGGAGTGGACTGTTTGGTGTTGGGGCTGCTGGGCCATGGGGTGGCAACATCCTCTGTAGACAATGGTAGAAGGGGATGTGCATCCGGACAATGCATCTTGTACAGGAGGCAAAGTGCTGCAACCATCCGACGAAGAGCAAGACTTGGCAGCCAACACATTGGGGCGATGGCTCGGATGGCCCGGGCTTGCAACCGGTCGAGTCTTGCAGGATGGGATGGGGCCGCTCCCATCCAGACAATGGGGCAGTACTCCATCACTGGGCGCACAAAAGCATTGTAGGCTTGGAAGGGACCGGGCAGGCGGGCACGTCTAAGAGGTGGAAAGCCTTACACAAAGCGCCAAGACATCTAGACGCTGTGTTGCCCGGAGGGTTACCGTACGAAGGTGTCGCCGGAAGGTAAGCTGTCCATAGAAACTGATGCCCAAGATTTTGAGCTCCTCTTGTTCCGTCACGTTAGATCCGTTGAAATCAATCGGTGGCATGTCCCATTGGGTGCGGTCGAAGCTGACAGTCAGTGCCTGGGATTTGGCTGGTTCAAATTCCTTCCAACCCCAACCCCAACACACCATCCACATTACGCTCCACTCGACTCTGCTGCAGCAGATCCGCCAACATAGGCACCTTGGTGTTACACTCCAAGATGATATGCGATGGACCCAACACATCGTAGAGACTACCAACAAAGCCAAAAAAACTACTACACCAACTCCACAAGACACGTGGCACAATGAACGCTTCCAGCCTATTATTAAATATACACGATCTAAGAGGGGAATCCGAAGGCAGATGCGTATAGCACGGCGTTGAATTCTCTCCAGTGTGTCCCGCTGTTGCTGTGTGGTGTTGGAGAGGGCAAGGCTGCCATATTCGAGAACGGGTCGGATGTAGGTCCGACCTACATCCGACCCGTTCTCGAATATGGCAGCCTTGCCCTCTCCAACACCACACAGCAACAGCGGGACACACTGGAGAGAATTCAACGCCGTGCTATACGCATCTGCCTTCGGATTCCCCTCTTAGGTCCGGGGTCCTCCCCCGGTAAATTTTTTGAAAATTGGTCCTAAAAAGCCATATTTTAACGCTACAGAATAATAAAAAGAATATGCATGCTGATGATACACCGCATTGTCGATGTAAAACATGGTACCTGTACAAGAGTCGACAAGCCACCAACAAGGTTGAAATGTTTTAAAAAAATTAAAAAAATTCGAAAATTATTGGTGCAGCTTTGGACCTGCCGCACCGGTTCCGACGCCCCTGCCTCGGTCACGCAAAGCTTCCCACCCTTAGCTCACGACTCCTTGTTAAACAAGTCCTACTAGCATGGGACATCCACCACCAAACCTCCCCACCACACCTGCAACTACCACATCTTGCACCACAACGTCAACACCAACCCTTCGACAGACAAGGACCTACTCCATCGGATACGCACACACAGACAAGCACCGAGATTCCCCCATCAACAGTGCCCTCACCCTCTACAACTCACTCCCCATCGACACTTCACAACCCAACATCGTAGAAATTATTTCCGAAACAATGCATCCAGTCTTCTTTTGAGCAGTACCTGTTCCTGCTCCGCGCACCCACCTGGTTTCTGATATCTCGAACTTGTAATTAACTACCTCGATCACCCCTGCTAACGTTTTTGCCCCCACTTGTTTTTCATGATCAATTGCTTCTTGCCTCCCCGGGTAATTTCCATCTAGCTGTTTCTGGCTAGTATCAGTTCTATCACACTTATCAACCGTCCTTATTGGCGTCACGCCATCGTGGAATAAAAGAATATAATTCTATAAATTGTATCTTCCATTCTTGACCCCAGTGGGAGATGTTGTTGACTGCTAGCTGGAGGGCTTGGGAGGTATCTTCTTGGGTGGTGGGGGTGATGTTGGCATACAGCGTAGTGTCGTCTGCGAACGAGGCTAGGTCAGCACCGGCTGGTACGTGGTCCTCGCAGTCGTTCACGTATATGAGGAAGAGAGTCGGACCCAGAATACTGCCCTGGGGGACTCCAGCCTGAATTGGGAGCCTTGAGGATGTCTGACCACAAATGACCACTTGCAGGTAGCGTTCACGGTTCACTGAGGTAGCTGCTGAGCCATTGGTGCAGTTGCCCACGTAGGCCGTATACGTTGGACTTGTGTAGCAAACCGGGTGCGATACGCGATCAAACGCACCGGCTATGTCAATGGCGAGTATGCTTGGCAGTTTTGAGACAGGCAATCGTTGAGAGCCGTGCACCTTGGTAAGCTGACTGCCGATCGTCGTCAGACTGGTCGTCTCTCAGGCACCTCCATGCACGTCGTTTCCTCACTGTGGCAGCAGTGCACTCAGGAGTCCACCATGGAGGATCTGATGCACGGGTTTTCAGAATTTAGAGGGGGTAATGAGACCAAAAATTTTTTATTATCACGCACGTTCACTTGTTTGAGGGAAAGACGCAAACCGCAAACGGGAAAAGTCTGAAGAAAAATTGACTGTCTTCCTACCCTTGAAGACAGCGAAAGCTCTGATATTCGTTCGTCGCTGCATCCATGGCCGTTCGAGTGTCCTGTTTCGGAATTATTACGTCAGAACACAGAGTGATCGCACCCGTGGAGCTGACCAAAACCTATTGCAAGTTCTAGTCCGGTCCTTCCAGTAGAGGTACAATCAAATTCATTGGTGCCATTCTCTGGAACAAGCTACCGCCCATGATGCGCTGTGAACCTTGTCACGCCCATTTCTGTGCTCTCTCGAAAGCGTCGAAGTATTCAAAGTAGGTTTTGTTTGTTTGTTTATTTAGAGTCGAAGAACAAACAGGCAAATTTGCCTAATTACATGACATCGACTAAAAAGGAGAATAAAGTATAAAAGGCCAATGAAGGTAATGATACTGAGTAGAGTGGGTAATGATACTGAGTAGAGTGGGTAATGATACTGAGTAGAGTGGGTAATGATACTGAGTAGAGTGGGTAATGATACTGAGTAGAGTGGGTAATGATACTGAGTAGAGTGGGTAATGATACTGAGTAGAGTGGGTAATGATACTGAGTAGAGTGGGTAATGATACTGAGTAGAGTGGGTAATGATACTGAGTAGAGTGGGTAATGATACTGAGTAGAGTGGGTAATGATACTGAGTAGAGTGGGTAATGATACTGAGTAGAGTGGGTAATGATACTGAGTAGAGTGGGTAATGATACTGAGTAGAGTGGGTAATGATACTGAGTAGAGTGGGTAATGATACTGAGTAGAGTGGGTAATGATACTGAGTAGAGTGGGTAATGATACTGAGTAGAGTGGGTAATGATACTGAGTAGAGTGGGTAATGATACTGAGTAGAGTGGGTAATGATACTGAGTAGAGTGGGTAATGATACTGAGTAGAGTGGGTAATGATACTGAGTAGAGTGGGTAATGATACTGAGTAGAGTGGGTAATGATACTGAGTAGAGTGGGTAATGATACTGAGTAGAGTGGGTAATGATACTGAGTAGAGTGGGTAATGATACTGAGTAGAGTGGGTAATGATACTGAGTAGAGTGGGTAATGATACTGAGTAGAGTGGGTAATGATACTGAGTAGAGTGGGTAATGATACTGAGTAGAGTGGGTAATGATACTGAGTAGAGTGGGTAATGATACTGAGTAGAGTGGGTAATGATACTGAGTAGAGTGGGTAATGATACTGAGTAGAGTGGGTAATGATACTGAGTAGAGTGGGTAATGATACTGAGTAGAGTGGGTAATGATACTGAGTAGAGTGGGTAATGATACTGAGTAGAGTGGGTAATGATACTGAGTAGAGTGGGTAATGATACTGAGTAGAGTGGGTAATGATACTGAGTAGAGTGGGTAATGATACTGAGTAGAGTGGGTAATGATACTGAGTAGAGTGGGTAATGATACTGAGTAGAGTGGGTAATGATACTGAGTAGAGTGGGTAATGATACTGAGTAGAGTGGGTAATGATACTGAGTAGAGTGGGTAATGATACTGAGTAGAGTGGGTAATGATACTGAGTAGAGTGGGTAATGATACTGAGTAGAGTGGGCAATGATACTGAGTAGAGTGGGTAATGACACTGAGTAGAGTGGGTAATGATACTGAGTAGAGTGGGTAATGACACTGAGTAGAGTGGGTAATGATACTGAGTAGAGTGGGTAATGATACTGAGTAGAGTGGGTAATGATACTGAGTAGAGTGGGTAATGATACTGAGTAGAGTGGGTAATGATACTGAGTAGAGTGGGTAATTGTTATATATGCACTCTGATGTAATATATTATGTACTCTGTATGCATTTGTATATACTCATTGCGCATGCTCTGAATCATGGTCTTACTCTACATGTATCCATGCCGGCTGGTTGACTCTGGTGAGCTGCGTGTGAGACTGCATGTAGGGTGTACGTGGATACACAACAAATGGCGACGAAGATGAAAAATTTGTTTTGAGATAATTTGTTTAGTTGAGTGCTTGCGAGAATTTGGTAAACCATGGCCTCTTCAGGGAAGGCCACCCTGGAGCAGTTTTCTGGCGGGGACTTTGCGGAGTACCGGGAACGGCTTGAGTTTTATTTTCTCGCAAATGACATCGGTGTTGTTTCAGCCAGTGCAAACTCATCGGAGAAAGAACGCGTACGTAAGAAGATGATTGCACATCTAATCTCTTCACTGTCGAAAGACGTCTACTCCACTTTGCGGAACCTCTGTCTGCCGGAGTCAATATCGGACAAGACCTTCGAGCAGATTTGTGACCTACTGAATGGATATTACAGAGTGGAGCGTTCCACGATGACTTCTTCTTTTCAATTTCGCGATTGCAACCAGAGACCAGCGGAAAAGCTGGTAGATTACGCAAATCGTTTGAAACGTGCGGCAGTAGCCTGCGACTTTGGGTCGCATTTAGACAGATCCCTAAAAGATCAATTTATGGCAGGAGTCTACAGTCAGGAGATCAAGCGGACGATTCTGACTAGTCCTGACAGCAAGACGAAGAAGTTTCAGGATGTGCTGGATATCGCTTTACGGGAGGAGCGCGCCATCATGTTTGCTGAGCAGCTTACTCCAGGTACTACTACTAGTACTAGATCAACATCTACGCCGTCCGAGTCAGTCAACAAGATGAGAGCTACCACTACCAGTAAATCCAAGTCAGCAAGTGCATCTAGAAAGCCAAATCACTCGCAGGACCAGAAAGGGTCAAAGTCGACGAAGGGCAAGGTTTGTTATCGTTGTACATCTGATTTGCATATGGCTGACAAGTGTCCTCATCGATCTACTACTTGTCGATACTGCAAGAAACGAGGACATCTCGAAAGAGCCTGCATCACCAAGCAGAAACGAGGTGAAATTCACCACGTGGATGACGAACCTGATGATCGAGGTGAGATCGTTTCTGATTGTGATGTTGATGATATGCCTATCTACAAGATTCGATCGGGTAGTGGAAAACACCCTCCGTATACTGTAATGGCGGAAATCAATGATGTTTGTTCACCAATTTGCATGGAAATCGATACAGGTAGTGCTGTATCCATCATCACCAAATCTGATTACGAGAAATTGGGTGCACCAGTGTCGTCTCTTGTAACTCAATCAGTCCAGCTCATTGGGTTTTCCGGTTCCATCATCCCCTGTTTAGGTGAAGGGAAATTTCCAGTGTCAATAAATGGGCAAAAGCACACTGTTCTCTTGCGCATTGTCGATACAAATGGTCCATCTCTGTTGGGCAGAGATCTTCTCTCACTTTTCAAACTAGAATGGAGGGAAATATTCTCGGTGAAGTCTGAAATTGATAATGCTCTTATACGCGCAAAGCTGCAGGAGGAAATGCTTCAGAAATTTGAGAGTTTGTTTGACACGTCAACTGTCGGCAAATTAAATTCAACTCAGGTCACTTTGCGTGTAAATGATTCAAAACCTGTGTACATGAAGGCTCGTTCAGTACCATTTGCAATCCGGGAGAAATACGAGCAAGGCCTCTCTAAACTGGAGGAGGAAGGTGTAATACGCAAAGTTGAATTTTCGAAATGGGCTTCACCTACGGTTCCGGTTCAAAAACCAGACGGAAATGTACGTATCTGTGCTGATTACTCGCGCACCATCAATGCTAATTCGGATTTAGAAAAATATCCGTTACCTACCATAGACGAAATTCGTGCCAAGTTGAATGGTGGGCAGAAGTTTACGAAGCTTGATTTATCTCAGGCGTACCACCAGCTAGAGCTTGATCCTAAGTCGAGGGGGTATACTACAATCAATACCCACCGTGGTCTGTTTGAATATGTACGTCTACCGTTTGGCATTCATTCAGCAGTCTCCATATTTCAGCGTACTATGGAGACTCTCCTGGCGGGTATCGATGGCTGCATTGTGTATGTAGATGATATTCTAGTCACAGGTCGAAATGATGCAGAGCACAAAAGAAATCTGGAAATGGTTTTGCAGCGGCTACAAGATGCGGGCATGCGTTTGAAAGCCACGAAAACCGAGTTCATGCTACCGCAAGTCTCGTACCTTGGTCATACTTTGAGTGCGAGTGGTATGGCGCCTTCGCCAGGAAGAATCGATGCTATGGTTAATGCCAATGCTCCTACGTCCGTCAGTGAGCTTCAATCGTTTATTGGGTCTGCGAATTATGTTCGCAAATTCATACCCAATTTTGCTCGGATTATGGCGCCACTTTACGCTCTGCTAAAGAAAGATACTGTTTGGAGATGGTCAGATTCTGAACAGACAGCGTTCCTTACGATAAAGAATGCTTTATGTTCCACGGAGGTTTTGGCGCACTATTCGGCGGGTCTGGAGCATGTCTTGCAATGCGACGCATCAGGAACGGGTCTTGGTGCGGTTCTTTTACAGAAAAACGAAAATGGTGATTACCAACCCATTTCGTATGCGTCTCGTCTGTTGAATAAAGCGGAGAGAAACTATTCAAATATTGAACGGGAGTCACTCGCTCTTGTGTTTGGTGCAACCAAATTTCGCCAATATCTCCTGGGAAAGAAATTTGTCCTTGAAACTGATCACAAACCTCTGGTGAAATTGTTCGGCATGCAGGAAGGTGTTCCGTTCCTGGTTTCTTCCAGATTAAAGAAATGGAAGTTATTACTTTCAGCGTATGACTACACCATCCAACACATTGCGGGAAAGGCAAATGTTCTGGCAGATTTCATGTCTAGAAAACCAATTTCTGGAAATCCTTCTACCCCGGAACTAGGTGAAACACGTGTACTTTTCATTGAGGACGAGCTCATTGATGCTCAAGTTGTATTGAATGCCACTGGAGATGATCCAGTTCTAGAGCGTGTTCGTCACTACACTTTGAATGGTTGGCCAGAGCATGTGAAAGAGGTGGAGTTACAGCCGTACTTTGTAAAGCGCTGGGAACTATCTATTGTAAATGATGTATTACTCTGGAATGAACGAGTGGTAATCCCCATGGCTTTGCGCGCGATGCTCTTGAGTGAATTGCACTCGGAACACACAGGCGCTGTACGAATGAAACGTATGGCACGTCGATATTTCTGGTGGCCAAAGATGGATGACGAAATTGAAGATACCACCAAAATGTGCGCTACGTGTCAAGAACAGGCACGCAAACCTAGTAAATCCTATGCTACCTGGTCATGGCCGTCGGGTCCATGGCGTCGTCTGCACATAGACTTTGCGGGTCCATTCATGGGCAAAATGTTTCTGGTGATTGTCGATGCGTATACGAAATATCTGGAAATTGTCCCGATGACACATGCCACATCAACGGGTACTATCAAAGCTTTGAGACGTTTGTTTGCCACATTCGGTCTACCCACTCACATCGTTAGTGATAATGGGACCCAGTTCACTAGTGCTGAATTTACCTCGTTTCTCCAGAAAAATGGAATCGCACACACTCGTTCAGCTCCCGGCCATCCGGAGACAAACGGTCTCGCTGAGCGATATGTCGGTCATTTTAAAGCTAAAATGAAAGCAATGGGAACAGAAGGTGACGACCTAGATACACGACTACAACGATTTCTAATGACATTTCGGTCAACTCCTACGGCGAATGGTAAATCACCGGCAGAAATGCTATTTAATCGCCAACCACGACTACGTTATGATGCTTTGAAAACAACACGGAATGCGGAGGCACAATCTTTCAATCAAAACCAGCATTTGCTACCAGAATACAAACCGGGTGATGCTGTGTTTGCGTTACGTTTTCAAAACCATGGTACAACCTGGGCCCCTGGTGTTGTTCTCTCTATCTGCAGTGCTATGAATTACTCTGTCCAGGTAAATGATGTGGTCTGGAAACGACACCGTAACCAACTCCGGCCACGTTCAATACCACTTTCTCAGTTAGCAGAACAGACACGTTCTGCACCACAGCAGCAACAACTCCAGCCGCAGCAGCAGCAGCAACAACAACTGTCACCACAACAGCAACAGCCTCAGCCGCAGCAGCAGCAGGTGCCACAGCAGTTGCCGCCTCAGAAGGCTCAACAGCCGACGACTTCACAGCAGAAAGAGCAGCCCATGCAACAGTCGCAGGATGAGCAGGGTCAACAGTCGTTAGCTTCTACAGCCCCAGCTGATGCTGTACCTGTTGACCGGCAGGTGACTCGATCTGGTCGGTCAGTCGTAAGACCAGCTCGGTATAACGGATGAGACATTTTATACATGTAGGATATGTAAATATTATATTATTTGCATGGATTGATTGAGATGATCGTGAATGCATGTACGTGGTTCTCTTGTTGCATTTGTATATATCAGTATAATGCTCTGTATAGTACATACCACACATAGAACATTGAACTTTGATAATTGGCACGTCAGACGATGGTACATTATTACATTGTCTGTTCTATGCTATTGTTCCTTGTCATGAAAATGTTTTGTTTTCGGTGTTACCTCTTTTTGCGAGGGGGATATTGTTATATATGCACTCTGATGTAATATATTATGTACTCTGTATGCATTTGTATATACTCATTGCGCATGCTCTGAATCATGGTCTTACTCTACATGTATCCATGCCGGCTGGTTGACTCTGGTGAGCTGCGTGTGAGACTGCATGTAGGGTGTACGTGGATACACAACAGTAATGATACTGAGTAGAGTGGGTAATGATACTGAGTAGAGTGGGTAATGATACTGAGTAGAGTGGGTAATGATACTGAGTAGAGTGGGTAATGATACTGAGTAGAGTGGGTAATGATACTGAGTAGAGTGGGTAATGATACTGAGTAGAGTGGGTAATGATACTGAGTAGAGTGGGTAATGATACTGAGTAGAGTGGGTAATCATGGATACTGAGTAGAGTGGGTAATGATACTGAGTAGAGTGGGTAATGATACTGAGTAGAGTGGGTAATGATACTGAGTAGAGTGGGTAATGATACTGAGTAGAGTGGGTAATGATACTGAGTAGAGTGGGTAATGACACTGAGTAGAGTGGGTAATGATACTGAGTAGAGTGGGTAATGATACTGAGTAGAGTGGGTAATGATACTGAGTAGAGTGGGTAATGATACTGAGTAGAGTGGGTAATGATACTGAGTAGAGTGGGTAATGATACTGAGTAGAGTGGGTAATGATACTGAGTAGAGTGGGTAATGATACTGAGTAGAGTGGGTAATGACACTGAGTAGAGTGGGTAATGATACTGAGTAGAGTGGGTAATGATACTGAGTAGAGTGGGTAATGATACTGAGTAGAGTGGGTAATGATACTGAGTAGAGTGGGTAATGATACTGAGTAGAGTGGGTAATGATACTGAGTAGAGTGGGTAATGATACTGAGTAGAGTGGGTAATGATACTGAGTAGAGTGGGTAATGATACTGAGTAGAGTGGGTAATGATACTGAGTAGAGTGGGTAATGATACTGAGTAGAGTGGGTAATGATACTGAGTAGAGTGGGTAATGATACTGAGTAGAGTGGGTAATGATACTGAGTAGAGTGGGTAATGATACTGAGTAGAGTGGGTAATGATACTGAGTAGAGTGGGTAATGATACTGAGTAGAGTGGGTAATGATACTGAGTAGAGTGGGTAATGATACTGAGTAGAGTGGGTAATGATACTGAGTAGAGTGGGTAATGATACTGAGTAGAGTGGGTAATGATACTGAGTAGAGTGGGTAATGATACTGAGTAGAGTGGGTAATGATACTGAGTAGAGTGGGTAATGATACTGAGTAGAGTGGGTAATGATACTGAGTAGAGTGGGTAATGATACTGAGTAGAGTGGGTAATGATACTGAGTAGAGTGGGTAATGATACTGAGTAGAGTGGGTAATGATACTGAGTAGAGTGGGTAATGATACTGAGTAGAGTGGGTAATGATACTGAGTAGAGTGGGTAATGATACTGAGTAGAGTGGGTAATGATACTGAGTAGAGTGGGTAATGATACTGAGTAGAGTGGGTAATGATACTGAGTAGAGTGGGTAATGATACTGAGTAGAGTGGGTAATGATACTGAGTAGAGTGGGTAATGATACTGAGTAGAGTGGGTAATGATACTGAGTAGAGTGGGTAATGATACTGAGTAGAGTGGGTAATGATACTGAGTAGAGTGGGTAATGATACTGAGTAGAGTGGGTAATGATACTGAGTAGAGTGGGTAATGATACTGAGTAGAGTGGGTAATGATACTGAGTAGAGTGGGTAATGATACTGAGTAGAGTGGGTAATGATACTGAGTAGAGTGGGTAATGATACTGAGTAGAGTGGGTAATGATACTGAGTAGAGTGGGTAATGATACTGAGTAGAGTGGGTAATGATACTGAGTAGAGTGGGTAATGATACTGAGTAGAGTGGGTAATGATACTGAGTAGAGTGGGTAATGATACTGAGTAGAGTGGGTAATGATACTGAGTAGAGTGGGTAATGATACTGAGTAGAGTGGGTAATGATACTGAGTAGAGTGGGTAATGATACTGAGTAGAGTGGGTAATGATACTGAGTAGAGTGGGTAATGATACTGAGTAGAGTGGGTAATGATACTGAGTAGAGTGGGTAATGATACTGAGTAGAGTGGGTAATGATACTGAGTAGAGTGGGTAATGATACTGAGTAGAGTGGGTAATGATACTGAGTAGAGTGGGTAATGATACTGAGTAGAGTGGGTAATGATACTGAGTAGAGTGGGTAATGATACTGAGTAGAGTGGGTAATGATACTGAGTAGAGTGGGTAATGATACTGAGTAGAGTGGGTAATGATACTGAGTAGAGTGGGTAATGACACTGAGTAGAGTGGGTAATGATACTGAGTAGAGTGGGTAATGATACTGAGTAGAGTGGGTAATGATACTGAGTAGAGTGGGTAATGATACTGAGTAGAGTGGGTAATGATACTGAGTAGAGTGGGTAATGATACTGAGTAGAGTGGGTAATGATACTGAGTAGAGTGGGTAATGATACTGAGTAGAGTGGGTAATGACACTGAGTAGAGTGGGTAATGATACTGAGTAGAGTGGGTAATGATACTGAGTAGAGTGGGTAATGATACTGAGTAGAGTGGGTAATGATACTGAGTAGAGTGGGTAATGATACTGAGTAGAGTGGGTAATGATACTGAGTAGAGTGGGTAATGATACTGAGTAGAGTGGGTAATGATACTGAGTAGAGTGGGTAATGATACTGAGTAGAGTGGGTAATGATACTGAGTAGAGTGGGTAATGATACTGAGTAGAGTGGGTAATGATACTGAGTAGAGTGGGTAATGATACTGAGTAGAGTGGGTAATGATACTGAGTAGAGTGGGTAATGATACTGAGTAGAGTGGGTAATGATACTGAGTAGAGTGGGTAATGATACTGAGTAGAGTGGGTAATGATACTGAGTAGAGTGGGTAATGATACTGAGTAGAGTGGGTAATGATACTGAGTAGAGTGGGTAATGATACTGAGTAGAGTGGGTAATGATACTGAGTAGAGTGGGTAATGATACTGAGTAGAGTGGGTAATGATACTGAGTAGAGTGGGTAATGATACTGAGTAGAGTGGGTAATGATACTGAGTAGAGTGGGTAATGATACTGAGTAGAGTGGGTAATGATACTGAGTAGAGTGGGTAATGATACTGAGTAGAGTGGGTAATGATACTGAGTAGAGTGGGTAATGATACTGAGTAGAGTGGGTAATGATACTGAGTAGAGTGGGTAATGATACTGAGTAGAGTGGGTAATGATACTGAGTAGAGTGGGTAATGATACTGAGTAGAGTGGGTAATGATACTGAGTAGAGTGGGTAATGATACTGAGTAGAGTGGGTAATGATACTGAGTAGAGTGGGTAATGATACTGAGTAGAGTGGGTAATGATACTGAGTAGAGTGGGTCATGAATGATACTGAGTAGAGTGGGTAATGATACTGAGTAGAGTGGGTAATGATACTGAGTAGAGTGGGTAATGATACTGAGTAGAGTGGGTAATGATACTGAGTAGAGTGGGTAATGATACTGAGTAGAGTGGGTAATGATACTGAGTAGAGTGGGTAATGATACTGAGTAGAGTGGGTAATGATACTGAGTAGAGTGGGTAATGATACTGAGTAGAGTGGGTAATGATACTGAGTAGAGTGGGTAATGATACTGAGTAGAGTGGGTAATGATACTGAGTAGAGTGGGTAATGATACTGAGTAGAGTGGGTAATGATACTGAGTAGAGTGGGTAATGATACTGAGTAGAGTGGGTAATGATACTGAGTAGAGTGGGTAATGATACTGAGTAGAGTGGGTAATGATACTGAGTAGAGTGGGTAATGATACTGAGTAGAGTGGGTAATGATACTGAGTAGAGTGGGTAATGATACTGAGTAGAGTGGGTAATGATACTGAGTAGAGTGGGTAATGATACTGAGTAGAGTGGGTAATGATACTGAGTAGAGTGGGTAATGATACTGAGTAGAGTGGGTAATGATACTGAGTAGAGTGGGTAATGATACTGAGTAGAGTGGGTAATGATACTGAGTAGAGTGGGTAATGATACTGAGTAGAGTGGGTAATGATACTGAGTAGAGTGGGTAATGATACTGAGTAGAGTGGGTAATGATACTGAGTAGAGTGGGTAATGATACTGAGTAGAGTGGGTAATGATACTGAGTAGAGTGGGTAATGATACTGAGTAGAGTGGGTAATGATACTGAGTAGAGTGGGTAATGATACTGAGTAGAGTGGGTAATGATACTGAGTAGAGTGGGTAATGATACTGAGTAGAGTGGGTAATGATACTGAGTAGAGTGGGTAATGATACTGAGTAGAGTGGGTAATGATACTGAGTAGAGTGGGTAATGATACTGAGTAGAGTGGGTAATGATACTGAGTAGAGTGGGTAATGATACTGAGTAGAGTGGGTAATGATACTGAGTAGAGTGGGTAATGATACTGAGTAGAGTGGGTAATGATACTGAGTAGAGTGGGTAATGATACTGAGTAGAGTGGGTAATGATACTGAGTAGAGTGGGTAATGATACTGAGTAGAGTGGGTAATGATACTGAGTAGAGTGGGTAATGATACTGAGTAGAGTGGGTAATGATACTGAGTAGAGTGGGTAATGATACTGAGTAGAGTGGGTAATGATACTGAGTAGAGTGGGTAATGATACTGAGTAGAGTGGGTAATGATACTGAGTAGAGTGGGTAATGATACTGAGTAGAGTGGGT